GGGTAATTACACCCCCACCCAGATGGTCTGGTACCGGAAATTTTCGGTAGCGATTTCGACGCACCCCGAATTTCGGTAGCGACCGGATCTTCGTTTGAGGGCGTTGAAATAGCGGATTTCGGAACGCTCTGATACCGGTATTGGGCGCTGCATTTCGGTATTTCGGTAGCGACCGATCTCTGCGGAGCGCTACCGGAAATTTTCGGTAGCGGACCATCAGGGCAGAGATGGTCCCCGGGGGCGCGCCGGGTGCCCGTGGGGCAGTTTTTGATTGATTGTCCCAGCGTTAAGTCGGGCACCTCCCTCTGTAGGAGGAATGTTCCAAACAATTGTCCAAAAGTGGTCTGGGGACCATTTGTCGACCATGTTTTCAAATCATGTTTGAGTCTTTGTGCGAGTACTTTTATATGTTTCCTCCCACATCCGCCTGTAGGAGGACATGCCCGACCTGACCCTACCGAGGGCGCCAGATTGGGACACGCCCCGTGCATCCCCAGAATCAGCGGGGGAAAGTCACCGCGCATGGGCAAAGATCACGACGCCGGATCTCTGGGAGGCGCGCTGAGGGCCCGCGTGTGGAGGTCTTTGTGAGGAGGTCTGCGGCGAGAGCGCCAGACTGGGACACGCCCGGCGCGCCTGGGGTCTCTTCGGTCAGGCCCCCGGAGACCAGGACACAGATAAGCCAGGATCGGGGGAGCGTAAGACCCGGGTTTGCCAGGACTCGGGTTCGCCATCGTTTTTTGACGACCGCGCCTCGGATTTTGACGAGGAGGAGTTTCGTGGGATGTCTGCAGCGGGAGACCTCGTCAAAATGCAGGATCGGCCTCGTCATTTTTTTGACGAGCTCGTCGGGGATTTCCGAGTCCCCTGTACCCAGGTCTTACGTCCCCCTGACAGGACACGGAAAACCAAGGAAACGACCTCCTTTCCTGCAAAGTTACGTTTTTCAGCACCCGTGCATGTTTTGTCTGCTGCACTGCAGGGTTCGGGATGGTGCCCGGGTTCAGGGGGGTCTTGCAGGCTTTCGAGGCCCGTGCCCGGGCTCATTCTGGAAATGCTGCAGTGCAGTATTTTGTTCGTGCCGCCGTTTGGAAGAATTGGTTTCGAGGGATGTTGGGTGTCCGGGTCTGGCGTGTCCGGCTCTACTCACCACCCACCAAACCACCCCAACCCAACCCGAAGGCCCAAATTTATCCTCGATTTCCAGTGGGGGGGGGTGTCGGGGAACGTTGGAAAAACACATGGAATCCGTACCCCCCCCAACCCGAAATTCGAGTCAAATTCGGGTCTTCGGGTTGGGTTGGGGTGGTCTGGTAGGTAGTCATCTACGGGGCCCCGATTGGGGCGAGTGCTGCGAGGACGTCCCGAGCGAGAGCGCCGGGCTGGGGCACGCCCGTCGATCGTGCCTGGCGCGCCCGGTCGCGGGGATTTTTGGCGAGGATGTCTGTGTCGGAGGGCACCAACTATACACCAACACCGATCCTGGCCCAGGCTCACCCTGGGCCCAGGATCGGTGTATATGCCTTCTTGCGCAAGGCAGGAGGGCGTATACACCGATCCTGGGCCCAGGGGGATCCTGGGCCAGGATCGGTGTTGGTGTATAGTTGGTGCCTTCCTACTGTGGCGAGGGCGCCAGATCGGGACACGCCGGGCGCGCCAGGAGCATCCCCAGGAATGTCTGGACGCCCCCAGATGGTCTGGTACCAGAAATTTTCGGTAGCGATTTCGACGCACCCCGAATTTCGGTAGCGACGGGATCTTCGTTTGAGGGCGTTGAGATAGCGGATTTCGGAACGTTCTGATACCGGTATTGGGCGCTGCATTTCGGTATTTCGGTAGCGACCGATCTCTGCGGAGCGCTACCGGAAATTTTCGGTAGCGGACCATCAGGGATCGGGACACGCCGGGCGCGCCAGGAGCATCCCCAGGAATGTCTGGACGCCCGAAATGGGTACTGAAAGAATGGGTACTATGCCCAACAGCGGATCTTGTTCATTTTGCACAAGAGCCGCTGTCCACGCCGCCGCGGCTTGTGTCCATTCAAGACAGGAGGCCGCCCGCCCAGCAGCGGCCGCTGTTGGTTTGGGACAACACTTGTTGTTGGGCATTGTACCCATTCTTTCGGTACCCATTTCGGGCGTCCAAAGAATGGGCCCGCCCGTCTTCATTCCCCTGATGGCGTCAGGTTTTTTTTTATCGCCCGGCGCGCCTGGTGCATCCCTGGAAACGGTCCCGCCCGTCTTCACTCCCCCGATGTTGTCTGTTCGAGTGCAGTGTTTCAGATCAGAGTGAGTGTATGCGCCCGTACATCAGATGCCCAGAGTTTTGGAAGGTCGTGTTGGATGCCGCCACGCGAAGGACTTGGCCGTCAGGCTCGTCTCTCGGGCAGCCCCACACTTGATCTGGTTGGGATGACTGCGTTTGCCTTTTCACACGTATGGTATCCGTGGAGTTTCTGGCCCCTGCCCCTCTGAGGTGGGATCGCCAGCATATTATAATTACCAAATTCGCAGAGCTGCCCTGTCACTTGTAGATCAGGCTCGCCCTTGGCTGTAAGCTGCTTCTGGGGTGCTCGCATGGCTACGAGCGATATGTATGTATTTCTATATTTATATATACATATATTAAATCTAGATACTTATATATATACACACATATGCATATGAATATCAGAAATCAGCCACCGGGCCCCCTGGCACGTTGAGGCGTGGAAAACTGCCCTGGTCTGCTTGGCAGGACTGGTGAATGCGAATAAGGGGACCTCACCCTCCATGCCCGCGACGTGCGCGCATCGCTCCTCCCTTCCGAGGCCACTTCCCTCGGGCCCGTGTGGAATTCTGCTTCCAGCATGGCAGTCAAGGCCGAAACACCGATGCCACACGTGCCCGCTCGAGGATGGCGCACTCCTCTCGCGCGACAGCCAATGCCCGACGCCCCTTCCACGCGCGCCCGCTCGAAAATTGTGCACTTCCCGCATGGCTACACTCCAGGCGATGCTTCTAAGAAAATCCAAGTTTTCGGCCAGAGTCTCGATTATTCTTAATGTTTCAATGTAAACCCTAAGATTTGACTAGACACTCTGGGTTTATATGCAAATTCTGAGACTATGAATTTCTTAACCCATGATTTCTAAAGCATTTCGCAGGGTGTACTCATTCCTGGACCCCTCATCCCACGCGTACCCGCTCGAGGATCGTGCACTTCCTGCGTTCCCAGACGCTGCTCCCAAGCGCTCCAGGGCCTCCCCCACGCCACAACCCTCCGTGAAGAACAGTGGGCGTGCGCCCCGAGTTTACAAGACGGCCCGCCCGTGCAGGCAGCCAAGGACACCAAGATGGCCCAAGATGCCTTCCCGCATCCCTTGGAACAGACGCCGCCCAGAATGCTGGGCTTGCACTGTGGCAGGACTTGCCGCAGGCAGCTTGTCTGTATATGTACACTGGATGGTAGGATGGGTAGCCTTCCCGAGGGTACCTTTGCATTCTTGACTCCTCAGTCCATCATTAACCCCTTTCGATGGCCAGTCCCGCTCGAACAGCTTCGACATGGGCGTCCAAGGGGCTTGCGGTAGGTCCATGCGGTGATGGCGCGCAAGCGAAGCCGACAAAGGCGTTCAAGGTTGAACTCCGCATGATAGAACGACGCGGAAGCACCGAGAGGTACGGTAACGTCATAGGGCCCGACGGAATTCAACCTTGAACGATCGGGGCCGCGATCGGCTCTTGGCTGAACGATCGACGCGGTGTCAAAGACTTTTGCGCGCGCCGACGCCGCACGAATCTACCGTGCATCCTTCCCGCGCATCCCTACCATCAGTTCTTCGGCGGCGAGCGGGGGGGGGAAGTGAGAAGGGACGGGCCTTCTCAGAAGGCTCCGAAGTCCCCCAGCCTTTTGAGAAGTTTTCTGAACCTTCCCCGAAGACGGAGAGAGTTTCTCAGAAGGCGCGAGGGTTTCTGAGAAGCCTCGCCGCTTCCCGAGGAGGCCTTTCCCTGTTCACTGCCCCCCTCGCTCGCCGCCGAGTTCCGACGGTACAATACCTTGCTTGCCTCCAGGGTGCCTTGGGCTTCTTGGGCTCCAATGCTCTTGCGATAGAACGCGTGGCGTGCCCACGCCCAAACTCTATGGACGCCCTGGGGTCTCAGGGTTGGGTTTCTTGTGAGGAGGAGGAGGAGGAGGAGGAGGAGGAGGAGGAGGGAGGAAGGAGGAGGGAGGGGGAAGGAGGAAGGAACGAGGATGAGGAGATGGAGGAGGAGGAGCAGGGAGGAGAGGGGGGGGAGGAGAGGGAGGAGAGGGAGGAGGAAGGAGGGAGGAGGAGAGTGAGGAGAGGGAGGAGAGGGAGGAGAGGGAGGAGAGGGAGGAGAGAGGGAGGAAAGGGAGCAGAGGGAGCAGAGGGAGCAGAGGGAGCAGAGGGAGGAGAGGGAGGAGAGGGAGGAGAGGGAGAGGGAGGAGAGGGAGCGAGGGAGCAGAGGGAGCAGAGGGAGGAGAGGGTTGGAGGGAGGAGAGGGAGGAGAGGGAGGAGAGGGAGGAGAGGGAGGAGGGAGGGAGGAGGGGGAGGAGGAGGAGGAGGAGGAGGGAGGGAGGAGGAGGAGGGAGGAGGAGGAGGAGGAGGAGGCGGAGGCGGAGGCGGAGGGGGAGGAGGAGGAGGAGGAGGAGGAGGAGGAGGAGGAGGAGGAGGAGGAAGGAGGAGGAGGCGCAGGAGGAGGAGGAGGAGGCGGAGGAGGAGGAGGAGGAGGAGGAGGAGGAGGAGGAGGAGGGAGGAGGAGGAGGGAGGAGGAGGAGGAGGAGGAGGAGGAGGAGGAGGAGGAGGAGGAGGAGGAGGAGGAGGAGGCAGGAGGAGGAGGAGAGGAGGAGGAGGAGGGAGGAGGAGGAGGAGGGAGGAGGAGGAGGGAGGAGGAGGAGGAAGCAGGAGGAAGGAGGAAGGTGGAGGAGGAGGAGGGAGGAGGGAGGAAGGAGGGAGGAAGGAGAAGGAGGAGGAGGAGGAGCTTCGGCGCCGCCCCGAGGCTCCTGCAGGAGGCGCTCGCCGAGGGCCCCGCGGGCGACGGCGGGCCCTCCGCGGCCCCGCTGCGCCGCGGCGTGGAGGGCCTGCTGGCGGGCGCGCGGGCGGCCGCGCCCGACGCCGCCGCGGACGAGGCGCTGGCGCGCGCCGCGCGGGAGGAGGTCGTCACCGCCCTCGAGGAGGAGCCCCGCCAGAGGGGGAACCGGCACGCACGGAATGGGCACGGACAAAAAGACCTACTCTCAACGACCTGGGAGCTGGGAGTCCAAGAATACACCTTAGGCGATGCTTAAGAAAACCTAAGTTTTTGGCCAGAGTCTCGATTATTCTTAACGTTTCAATGTAAATCCTAAGATTGTAATAGAAACGTTGGGTTTTCATTCAAGTCCTGAGAGTATAAGTTTCTTAACCCATGATTTCTTAAGCATTTCGCAGGGTGTACTCTCAACGACCTGGGAGCTGGGAGTCCAAAAATACCTATCCTCAACGGCCGGCGTGCACACGTATTCTCATAACCCCGAATCATCAGGGGTAACTCGGGTCAGGGATAACTCGGGTTCGTTTTCCGGGAACCCAAACCCGAGTTGCCCCGGACCCGAGTTACCCCGGATAACTCGGGCGTCCAGAGCCCCACATCATCAGGGGTAACTCGGGTCAGGGCTAACTCGGGTTCCTTTTTCGGGAATCCAAACCCGAGTTACCCCGGATAACTCGGGCGCCCAAAAGAATACCTGTCCTCAACGGCCGGCGTGCACACGTATTCGCCAAGACATGGATCTCCGGCGCACCTGAACACATGTGTTGCTCTCCCCCTGTGCCGTTTTTAAGACATGTTCCGCGTGCGGATCATGTATTCCAAAAGCATGGATTCGGTTTGAAAACAACGATGAGTTCTTGCATACATTTATCCATACATAAATCATGTATTCAAACTCCTATATGTTAAAAATCCCTTGTATTAAAAACTACCCTGTACGGAAAGAATGGGTACACTGTCCAACAGCTGTTCCTGTTCATTTTGAACAGGACTCGCGGTCCGCGCCGCCGCGGCCTGTCTCCATTTGAGGCAGGAGGCCGCCTGCCCAACAGCGGCCGTTTTTGGTTTGGGACAACATTTGTTGTTAGGCACTGTACCCATTTTTCCCGTACCCATTTCGGGCGTCCAAGAGTCAGGAGGGGAAGAAACACACAGACACAATTGATCGTCGACTCCCCAGAAAACATGGGAGAATATGGGAAGGGGTGGGGAAGACAAAAACCCCGAAAATGTGGGAAAACATTGAGAATATGTTTATTTGTGTGTATTTATTTGTGTGTCCTGGGGCCCCTTCAAAGAGGAATATCCTCGAGGAGAGAAAGACCCCCCACCCCAAGAGCGCAAGGAGGACGCGGCCTCCCTGAGGTCCCCGTTTTTAGAGGCCAGGGGCAGCAAGCGTGGGCGGCCCGGCTCGACACATCTGCAGACAGGGCCCCCCATCCCTGATGTTTTGGCCCTCTGAAGTTAGGTCCCCCCCAAAAAGTTACGGCAGGTTCGTGCCGTGTCGACCTGGGCGTTGGTCCCTGACGCCGCGAGGATCGTTCAACCTTGAACGATCGGCCGCAGCCGCAACGTCCGATCGTTCAACATCGATCGATTCTGTGTCGCCGGCGGCGTTCAACCTTGAACGCCCGCGCTGGGGTCGCCGCTGGTCGACACGACGCAAACCTACCGTAGGGGTCTTTTTTGGTTCAATCCGGAAAGACACGGTCGGGCCGACGCGTATCGGATGGAGGTCGTTTCGGGGAGGGTGCCCTAAGAGGTGGTTCGTGCTTGGTGGGTGTTCCGGTGCCTCCTGGGGATGGTACCCTTGGATGTTCTGTGTGTTTTGACCGGCGGAGGGCCTAGCGTTCTTGGAGGATGGTCTTCTGTCCTAGGTCCGACTGCACCCATATCGGACGGGGCTAGAACGATGATAAATCCGCTCCAGAGCTTTAAGGAACGTTCTCAGAGCGTTCTGGATCGCTATGAGAAGGCCGCGGCGCTCGATACATCTTTCAGAGCCGCCAGATCTCAGAGATTCTCAATGTATCCTCACGCGGATTTGTCCTCGTCCTGGCTCCGTCTTACCATGGCGCTACCCTTCGCTCGTTTTCCCCTTTTTCGGGCCTCCTGGAAGAACCTCGTCGCCACTGCTGGGTTCGCCTCGAAATCATGGGCAGAACGCGCCCGGGGAGAGTTCCGGGGAGCAGCGGTATTGGTATTTGTTGGTTTCCCCAGCTGGGGGCAGCCGTCGGGGAACAAACATCGTGATCCTTGAGATGGGGTTCAGTGAAAAGGGAGGGCAGCCACCGGGGACAACTCTTGAGGATGTTTGCTTCCCCAGCCCTCCCTCGGCTGGGTTCTCGTTTTGAGTAGAGCGAGGTGCAAACTCCCTCCTCCTCCTCCTCCTCCTCCTCCTCCTCCTCTTCCTCCTCCTCCTCCTCCTCCTCCTCCTCCCGCCCTCTGCCTCCCTGTCGCCTGCCCGCACCTGCCTGCGCCTCCAGGGGAGACATCACAGCTGGGGCCCCAACGCAGACCCAAGCGGGACCTCGCCATCCCCGGGGGGCCGCGAAGATTGACGCTGTTGCCGCGTTCGAGGGCTGCTGGGCGGGGCACGCCCAGCTGGGGCCCCACGCAGACCCAAGCGGGACCTCGCCATCCCTGGGAGGCCGCGAAGAGTGGAACCGTCGCCACTTTCGAGGGCTTCCGGGCGGGGCACGCACGGCTGGGGCCCCACGCAGACCCAAACGGGGCCTCGCCATCCCCGCGGGGCCGCGAAGAGTGAAGCTGCTGCCACGTTCGAGGGCTTCCGGGGGAGGGCACGCACAGCTGGGGCCCCACGCAGACCCCAACGGGGCCCTCGCCATCCCTGCGGGGCCGCGAAGAGCGGCATTGTCGCCAGCCCTCGACTTGGCATCGCTCGGACGTGTGCATTGTTCCTTCGGCGAGGACCATCGAGGAGCATCCTTGATCATCTGGCGAACAAAAACCACACACGATACCGAAACAAACACAGGGAATGGGCGTCCGAGCGATGGCCAGGTGTGGCGCTGTCGCCAGCCCTCGAGGGCTGGCGGCGCGCCTGCGCGCGCTCGGTGCGCACGCGGAGAGGTGCAGGGAGGACGCGGGGGAGGCTGGCGGGCGAGCTCGGCCTCGACCGCTTCAGGGCTCGTTTCGACTCCTCCGATTCGATTCGATTCGATTTCGATGGCTTCCGATTCCGATTCGATTCGACTTGGGATTCCGATTCGGATTCCGACTTCTTATGGGACGCATAGTAGCCTGCCGATTTCCGCCGATCCGACTTTTCCCGACTCGGCTGCCGATTTCCGCCGATCCGATTCATTTCGATCGCCGATCCGACTTATCCAATCGATTATGGGCTCTCTTGCCGCTTTTCTTGCACTACAGTCAGAAACCCTAACAAGGACGCGCGACTTTGCTCAGGGTACCCATGCGTCCTTGCTCTTCCTTGCTCTTGCGTCCTTGAGGTTTTCGTCGTCCGCCGCCCTAGAAATCCCAACTTCGGCTTCCAAGGGTCTTGCGTCCTTCCCGCGCGTCCTTATTAGGGTTTTTGACTGCAGCAGCGGGAGTTTGTGTTTTTTCACGCTTCGCGCAAGGCCACCAGCCCCTCCAGCGACGATGCCCGGACGAGTTGCCCTTATGAGGGAAGTGGGGGAGCATGCAGAGGATCAAAGGGTCCAGGGAGCAGTCACACCCCAAGAGGAGGAGGATAGAGGAGGAATCGGAGGAGGAGGAGGAGGAGGGGGAGGAGGAGGAGGAGGAGGAGGAGGAGGAGGAGAATGAGGAGGATGACGACGAGGAGCACGAGGAGGAGGAGGAGGGGGAGTGGGAGGAGAGAGGAGGGAGGAAGAGGAATAGGCGGATGATGATGATGAGGAGGAGGGGGAGGAGGAGGAGAATGAGGAGGAGGAGGAGGAGCGCGAGCAGAAGAGGCCTGTGGGGTGCCTCTCGGAGTCTCTTCGGATGTCTCTTGGGAGCTTCCTGAAGGCCTCTCTGGGATCTTGGGTGCCTCGTGGCGGTTCCGGGGGCCTCTTGGAGCGTCTTGGGTGCCTCGGGGAGCCTGTTTGGGCCCCTTGGCGGCCTCTTGGGGACCTCCTGGGCGCTTCTTGGGGCCCTCTTGGGGCTCTCTTGGGGCTGTCTTTGGAGCCCTGGAGGGCTTCTTCGGGCAGTCGTGGATGGTGTCGGTGAACAGAGGGGGTCCTACCGTTTTTCCACCCTCTGGGGCCGTCAAAATCACCTCTTGGGACGCTCTTGGGCCTCTCATTGGACGATCTTGGGCGGTCTTTGGGCCGTCTTGGGGGCATCTTGGGCCCCTCTTGGAACTCCCTTTGGCTGTCTTGGGGCCACCTTGACGCCTCAAGAACGCATCGGGAGCGAAAAGGGGAAAAGGCACAAAGGATTGATTGTCCTTGGGTGTTTGAAGGATTTTGGCTTCCCCGGGGGGTCCTGGGGCGTGTCCAGAAACACCTGGAACCGTCTTGTCGCCCTCTTGGGGCCTCTTGGAGTCATGGTGTTAGCTATCTTGAGCCATCTAGGGCTATGTTGAGCGATCTTGGAGACCATCTTGGGCTCTCTGAGACTCTCGTGGAGCCAGCTCGGGCTATCTTGGACGCCCTGACACCTCGCGAAACCCCCGTCCAGGGGATCGGGGTATGGGGAGGGGTTCAGACACCATCCAGATAGCAAGCCGTCTAGCTCACTCCCACCCGCCCACCCAACACATGAGTAACACCCAAGCCTCAGCATGTTTAGCGGTCGTCTTTGGATGGGCAGTTACTGGGCACGAAAAACGAGCCCATGTGCGCGACGTTGGGGCGAGGTGCGCCACTCGTGCCAGGCGCGCCACGCGTGCTAGGCACCCCTGGGGCCCGAGCGTGCCAGGCACGCCTAGTGCGCCAGATGCGCCACGTGCTTCCGCGGGCGCCAGATGTGCCGCATACTCCAGCCGCGCCAGGTGCGCCACGTTCGGGGCACGTGCAGAGTATGGCGCCTGCGCGCGTGACAGGACACATCGGGAAACATGTCGGCCCCCACCATCCTCGTCGAAAAGCAATGCCTATCATTGTGTCTGGTGGGCCTGCGCACAGCAGCCTATCCGCCACCACCTCCGCCGTCCCTAGCAATTACGCTACCGAGGAACGTCATCAACTTGTCATATGTCCGGCGTGATGATAGCTGACGTGAAACTTGCAAGAATGATGCAGGTGGCCGTTGTTTCGCCGATGACCGTTGGTGGCGCCGGTCAAGCCTTGGGAGCCTGAGTACCCTGAGGGGACCCATAGGCCCTGGGAGACCGACCCCCTCTGCGCACCCCCTATGGTGCCGAGAAGGCGACACCCTTATATGCCCTGGACGACCGGCGCGCATAGAGGCCGCGGTGGAAGACCACCTACGGTGTCGAGAAAATGCCACGCCTGCTGCGCTTGGACAACCATCGCGCGTAGCGGCCGCGGTAAGAGACTACCCCCTACGCGCCCTGTGTGGTGTCGAGAAAATGCCACGCTTGCTTTGCCCTGGACGACCGGCGCGCATAGCGGCCGCGGTGAGAAACCTCCCAGTGTCGAGTACTTGCCACGCCTGCTGTGTTTGGACGACCGTCGCGAACAGCGGCCGCGGTGAACAACCACCCCTTGCGCACCGTCTATGGTGTCGACAACCTGCCACGCATGCTGTTCCTAGACGACCGGCGCGCATAGCGGCCGCGGTGAGAAACCACCCCCTGCGCCCCCCCTATCGTGTCGGGAGAACGCCACGCCTAGTGTGTTTGGACGACCGTCGCGAGTAGCGGCCGCGATGAGAGACCACCCCCTGCAAACCCAGTCTACGGCTTCGAGAAAATGCCACGCTTGAGGGGTAAGGAAGTGTGAGAAGGGGAAGCGGGTGTGCGAGCGCGGGTGCGACGCGGGTGCGAAGAAAACAAGAAGCCCACTGAGCACGTGGGGAAAAAATCACTCGACCACGATCGCGGGGCGTCTGCGCACGATCCAGATTTGGCCGCGAGGTGCACGTTTTGTAGGGTTTTGTCAGGGGTGGTAGCCCTGCGCACAGGAGGCAATATGCTGACACCCCCGCCGTCTCTGTCAAAGAAAGATACACAATGTTCGCGGGCCTCACGATCATGACTCCATTGTTTTTTGATAAGGCTTGCGGAAGGGGGGGGGAGGGGCGCATCGGGTTGGTTGCGCATGCTCCGAATTTGGAGGCCGAGTGCGTTTTACAGTGTTTTTTGAAAGTGCTGGTGGGGGGGAGCATGGTTCCTGGTTGGCTGGCGGTCGCTTGGGGGAGGAGGTGTATATCAATAGGAGCATTGATCAACCCTTTCCCCGAAGGAAAAGAGCGGCTTCTGGAAAGACGCAGTTAGACCACCTGCGCCCATGGGGCGAGGGTTGGTGGGATTCCCCGCGCAGGAGTTGATATTTTCGGCATGAAAAGACGCGACACTTCATTGTCAGGTCGCGACGTTGCCTATGTATCCCCATGTTTCCCATGTTCCATCAGCTCGCTGCTTCTGCCGAGGTGATGTTCCTCAACCCCGATGTGTTCCGTATGCTTCTCCTTCCCTGTAAAGTGCCCCATAGCCTTTGGTACCTCTGTTCTGCGAGTCGACCATGCAAACTTCGCACGATATGGATACCTGCCGTGCGCCGTCTCTTGCAGTAGCGTTGTCGCACCATTGCCGGCACACCTTACATCATCATTTGGCGCCGATGGGTTGGGTGCGTCGCAGGTTAATGTTTTTAGTCCGCGGGCGCGAAGTGGTCAAAGGCACTCCGACGCCAGTCGGCAAGCGGCGCGATGCGCTGGCAGCATTGAGGCGAACAGGACGGGGCGAATTCTCAAGGAACAAACCATGGCACAAACATAAACATCTTAGGGAGGTCCAAGCGGTTTTCGCGGATCTGCCCTGGACCTCCCTGGCGCCGTTGGCGCGTTTCACGCGCCAGTAGGGGAGGCCAACGCAGGTCCAAAACATCTCCGCGTTTTTTCCAACAATTATGTTTATGCCCCTGTGTGTTTTCCTAGAAGAGTCGGCTGCGTTCGGTCGATCCGGTTCGGTCGGTGATTCGGTCGTTGCCACGCCGTTGCGCCGTGTTGGGCTCCTTGCTGCCTGTCGATTTGGGTAAGTTGCGGTTTGCTGTCGGTTCGGTCGATGTTCAGTTTTGGTGTCGCCGTGCACGGCCTTGAGCCGGGGGTATCACTGGGGCATCTGGGATAATCGGCGGCGAGCGAAACAGGGAAGTGCGTCTTTTCAAAAAACCTTCGGCCGTCTGAAAAAAATCTTGTGCTAGGCTTAAACAACTTTCCGAATGCCGGAAGGCCCGCCTCTCTCACTTCCCCGCGGGCGCGCCGCCGAAATTCGAAGTGGAAAAGGCGGCATACGTCACTACTGTCTAAATGGTTGCGGAAAGAACGCGCTCGAAGACCGACCGCATTTCTTGCTTATGCTGAACAGGACTCGCTATCGGTGTCGCGCGGACGCTGTCCACTTTAGACAGAAGGCCGCCTGCCCAATCACGGCCGCTGTCGGTGCTTGAAAAATCATGTAGGGCATCGCACCAGTTTTCCGTCCAGTTCGTCCGTCAAAAGAATCGTGGGAACATGCGATTATTCAATTACGCCAGAAGTCGGGTTTGCCGTCGTTTTTCGAAGAGCCCGCCTTGGATGTTGATGGTCTGGTTTTCGTGGGATGTCTGCATCGGGGGCTCGCATCACAAAGTTCAGACTGTCGTCATTTTTATGATGGCCCCGTCGGACCAACCCGAGTCCCCCGAACCCGAGTCTTACGTCTGCCCGAATGAGCGCACATGTTCGGAGAGCCTCGCGGATTCCTGGGATGGGCGCCGCTCCCCCCCCCATTGCGGCGCATCCGGCGCCGCCGCCAGGGAAGCGCGCAGAGCGCAGCGCCGATCCAAGAAGTTTTCGGGAGCCTCGAGAGCAGGGTCAATTCAAACGGGGGCCAGCCAGAGCGGCCGATCCTGCAGGATCCTGCAGGGCCAGGGTCGCATTGACCCGGGTTTGGGTGCAGAATCTTGCAGGATCCTTCGCATTGACCCGGGTTTGGGTGCAGGATCTTGCAGGATCTTGCAGGATTGTGCAAGGCCTGATTGACCCAGGTCTGGATTGACCCGGGTCAGAAGATCCCCAATGAGCGGTGCTCCGAAAGCGTACCGTGGAAACCCATGCCAATAAGAGCACCTTGCCTGCCTCCTGGGTGCCCTGGGTTTCTTGGTTTTCGATGGTCCTGCTAATTATGGAGTCCGCCCTGGAGACTCAGGGTCGGGTTTTCCTTGTGGAAGACTTCTGGTGGTCGAGCACCCACTGTAATTCCGCCTGTGGCTCCTCTTCCTGTTCCAGGGCTCGAGCTGAACGATGTCTTGGCGATGTGGTGAACCGTTCTCGTTATGAATTCGTTTCGCAGGGAAGGTAGAACGACGGAGCGCGAGAACAAAACGACTAGGGGAAGAAAAAGTGGCATAAACATAACAACTCGGAGGTCCGCGCGGATTTCTCGGATCGGCGCTGGGGCCCCCCGGCGGCGCCTCCGGCGCCGCCCTTGGCGCGCTCCGCGCGCCAGGGAGGGGGGGTCCAGCGCCGATCCGAGAAATCCGCGCGGACCTCTGAGTTTTTATGTTTATGTCACATTTTAATCCCCTAACGACACCGAGCAACGCTGTCTGGCTCGAGCCCTCTTCGTTCCTCCAGCCACGCCAGGCGGGAGAGTCGAGGTTGGCGGTTCTCGGGCAGTCTCGTCGGCCCAGGTCTTTGGCCTCGGTGTGCATTTCAGCAGTTGTGCCTCTCGGAGGGCGCTGCGGGGGGTGCGGATCGTCTCGAACGGCTGACCGAGAGCCAGGGGCGTTTCTCTACAGTTTCCAACTCTTACGTCTTGTGAGTCAACAGCGGGGACCTGAGAATGATGAAAAACAAACCAGAAACTATACACACACATTTCCGCACGAGCATGTTAAAATTACGCTCTAGAACGAATTGGTGCAAGCTGGAAACGTTAAGGAAAAAGCCTGACACTTTTTTAGACAAAAACGTTGTGTTGAACTTTGGGCACAACACGAGAGTGCCAACGAGAATGAGTACGGGGCGGCGCAGCGGGCATCTTCAGCAGCAGGCAGTAGCAGCAGGCAGTAGCAGCAGGCAGCAGCTGCAGGCAGGTCCTGCAGGCAGTCGTGGCAGGCAGTAGCAGCACCAGGCAGCACAGGGGGGAGTTGGCGGCCGCAGCGGGCGGGAGGTGCAACAGAGAAGCCTTTCGGAGAGAGACAGGCAACTTCGACCCTTGACCCAGGTGAGGCGGAAACAGTGAGGATGTCGCCGCCGCCGTTGAGGCCGCCGTTGCGACGCCGACGCCGCCGTGATGGCACCTACGACCGACGATGCCTCCGGCTCTGACGCGCGCTCTGCGGGGCCGGACAGCGATTGACAGACAGCGCACGATGAGAGTTCGGCATTATCTCCAAGAAGGCTTCTCTGGTGCACCTGCTGCCAGCTGCAGCCGCCAACTCCCTGCCTCGTCGTGTCTGCCGTTCCCTGCCGCTCGCTACTACTTGCTGCTTGTTGCTGCTACTGCTGCTTGCTGGTGCCTCGTTGCCGCTCGGTGATTGCCAATGCACGCCCAGACAAAACAATCTTGAACGCAAAAGAGCACGTTACGAGCCAGACCTGGAAACAATTTATACACAGAGGAGGCAGCTATAAGAAAGGCTCGTTCGGATTTGCGTCGGAAACGATCAGTTCACGCAGCACCACGGAGACCTTGAAACAACAACAAACGACAACCGGAAATTATTCAAAACTAGTTTTTGTTGATTGAAAGTTGGATGCTGTAAAGAGACGTTATGGGCGTTTCGAAGGCACTTTGGACCACTAAGCCGATGGGGGCTGGATAGCCCCATCCCGCCCAGCACGGGGTGGGCGGATTCCAGATCGGGAGCCTGCGTTCGATATATCGGCGATGCATCCTCGGTTCCAGCTCGAGGTCTGCCCCCCTGAGCTGATCCCCCCCTGGCGTTGTCCCTCAGAGGAGCCGCAGCTGGTCCTGGACCTCCTCGGGGAGCTCCGGGAGGAGGAGCGCAGCCGCCTGCTGGACCTCGCGGAGCAGAGCGGGGTCCTGCCGCGGGAGCGGCGTGGCGCGGTGGAGGCCGTGGTGATGCCGGGTGCACATGCCGAGCAGCTGGGATGGATCTTGAAGGTTGCGGTGCTCCTCTACACGCACAGCTGGGTGTTGCCGGCGACCCCAGCGGTCGAGTTCGCGGCGGCCTATCTCTTGGTCGGCTCGAGCGCCTGCAGCAACGGCTTCGTCGCTTGGCTGCGCTGCGACGCGGCCCTGGCGGTGTTGGCCGCCGCCGCGCTGTATGTGGCGTGCAGCAATTTCCGCGCCGTGTACCACCGCGCCCGGCTGGACCCCGCGGGGGAGGAGCGTGTTTCTTTAATTGCTTGGGGCACAATGGGCACCAGAGCCCCCGGCCCCCCCTCCCCCCCGCCCCTCCCCCCCCAGTACGCTCCGGGCACTGCCGCCGTGCGCATGGCGGGGGGGAGGCGTTTCATCAAAACCCCCCCCTTGGTCCCCCCCCCCTCCCTATAATGCCCAGGGTCGCCGAAGGTAAAGACACGCGCTCGAGGCGGCACGCGCGCTGCAGGCGTGGAAGCTGGGCGACCTCGAGGAGGCCGCAGAGGTGCTCGAGATGGGGCCGGAGGAGCTGCGGGCGGGGGCGGCGGGCCTCGGGGCCGCCGCCTTGGTGCTGTCGCTGGGCGCGGTGGGGGCCGTCGTGGGAGCGCTGAAGCTGGTGCAGGCTACTTTAGCCTCGATCGCCAGGAATAATTTCGTCGGGGGTGGACAACCCCCAACAGTGGCACGTCGATTCGTGAATTGTCCGCTGTCGGTTTTCGAGAGGGCGCCGTGGCCGTTGTTTTCCAGGCTTGCGCCCGCCAGGTTTGGGCCTCAGGTCGTTTTCACTAAACCACGTTTTGCTAAAGGGGGGTCTGTCCATCTCCGATCTCGAGCACCAGAAACAAGTACCGAAACTCAAGGGTTCTCGCGCGCCAGGCCCTGGGAGACTCTCGTCCGACACCGTTTCGTCACTCTTGCGACACTTTTCTGGGGGCTCGAAATTAGTTTGGGGATGTGGTCTTTTAAATACGATGCAGGCAACATAAATAAACATACAAATTCAGAGGTCCGCGCGGGTTTCTCGGATCGGCGCTGGACCCCCTTCTCCGGCGTGCGGAGCGCGCCAGGGGCGGCGCCGGAGGTGCCGCCAGGGGGGTCCAGCGCGCATCCGAGAAATCCGCGTGGACCTCTGAGTTTTTATGTTTATGTATCAGTGGGCGAAGAACGGTATAAATAAACTTTTCCGCCGTCGGGGACGCCTGCCCTTGGGCGGCTGGAAACCTTATACCGCTACGGTGCGTATAAATTTTCCAGCCGCCCTGAGACAGGCGCCCCCGACAGCGAAAAAGTGTATTTACCCCGTTCTTCGTTCGTTATCTGTAATTTCTTCGTTCCCCTAGCAGGCGACCCTGGCGTTCTCGTGCAGCCCGGCCGCGTGGCTCGTCTGCGGGGCGTTCGCTGCGCTGCGCCTGGGCTTTGCGCGGGAAACTGTTGAACGGTGGGCTCGTGACGTCTCGGCGCGGCGGCAGCCTCGCAGCTTACCATTTTGAAACATATCCCTATCCCTATGTTTGGAAACTTGTGGCGCTCCGCGCGAATTTCCTGGATCCGCGTCTGGGCCCCCCGGCGGCGCCTCCAGCGCCGCCCCTGGCGCGCTCCGCGCGTCAGGAAAGGGGGTCCAGCGCGAGTCCAAGAAATCCGCGCGGAGCGAGAAAAAGTTTATGTTTGTGTGCTGAAAGATCCGCGCGGTGTCCGAAGCCGGCGCCGAAGTCGTCACGACATGAGCCTGCCGCAGTGAGTCTCGGGGGGACACGCCTCGAGCCCCGAGCGCCCACTCATCGCCGGTAGAGGGCCTGACACCACCTGAGCCAGCCCAGGAGATTGTGGTGTCCCCCCCCCCCTCGCGGAGGGGAGTCCCCCGTCTTATCGTTCCCCTCCATGCCTCTCAGATGGAGTCCAGGTAGACGGGGTCGGAGGATCGCGCCGCATCGCCGATGCATCTCCGATGCGGCTCGATGTGGAGCCCGGTTCTCTCCACGCCGACGTCGCCGTGGCGATGCGGCGCGATCCTCGGAAATCCTCCGACCCCATCTACTCGGACCCCTTTTTGGCGGCCTCTATGGTCTTAGGTTTGTTTTTACGGAAGCCTTGAATTTCACCGAAGGTATTCTTGTTAAGCGTTTAACAGCCACCAGCGGCGAAGAGGGGCTGATAGGTGGACGGTTGGTGTGGGGCGTGTGCTGCTGTTTGCCGCGAACTTGCCGCCACTAGTCGCCGCTATTTGCCGCTAATCCGCCAACATCTTGACTAAGATAGGCTTTCACTCAATCGGCACAGACACACATTACAGATGGGGAAACATTCAAAATTATGGGAGATGGAGGAGAAGACTGAAATACACAAAAAGCGCAACAATATGGGGGATCCTGAGGTTCGTGCCCATCTATCTGTGTGTGTGTGTGTCCCTGGGTCTCTTCACCTTTCTCACCAGCGAACGCAGCCCGCTGTTGCCCCCTCCCCGTCCCCCCTCCCCGCAGGCTTAGGTCGGGCCTGTCCCCTACAGGGGGATTTTCCACGAAAAATGAAAAATATCCCTGAGGTGGTTTAAAACATACCCCAAAAATAGTCCCCAGACTATTGTTGGATTATTTGGGGGGTATTTTTGATTTTTCGTCGAAAATCCCCTTGTAGGGGGACAGGCCCGACTTAACCCCAGGCACGTTCGTGGCGCTCTGCTACCTGGCAGCCCTCGCCCATGGGCTCCTGGCGCGTGGCGGCGGGCTCGGGGCCCAGGGGCGCGGCAGCTACGGGAGCACTGGCAGCAACAGCAGCGCCGCGCCGCGCCGCGGGTCCGCGTCCTCGGCGGCCAACTCGCAGGCGCCGTGCGTGGCGAAAGTGTTGTGGACTTGGCATCGCTCGGACGTGTGCGTTTTTTCCTCGGCCAGGACCATCGAGGAACATCCTTGATCATTTGGCAAAAAAGAGGAGAAACAAAAAAACAAAAACAAACACGCACGACACCGGAACAAAACACAGGGAATGGACGTCCGAGCGATGGCGAGCGGAAGTCGATTAATGGAGAGGAAGCATACTGCCAAATACTTTCCAGATGTTTAACAGATGTTTCAACTATGTCTCAAAGTTGTTAAGAACAGGTTTGACACATGTTTAGAACATGTTTTACACATTTGAAACACATCTTCCATACAGTGTTAGGACTGTTAGTGTGTCCATTGTCGTGGCATCCACAGCGAAAGTGCGGCCCAGATCTCCGTCGATGTTTGTCCGCATCCTTTAACCATTCCCCATCCCCACCGGGACATCGCATCGCAGCCCCACCATACCCCACCGTCCCCAGTTGGGGATCTGCCCTGCGGAGCCGGACGGGGACGGGACATGTCCCCATCCGGGAGGGGCACATCGGCCAGTGGTCAGGAGGGGAAGGATTAAGGAGGAGGAGGATTAAGGAGGAGGGAGGATTCCTCCTCCTTGATCTTTCTCCCCCTTTTTTCCCCTTTTTCCTCCTCCTCCCTCCTCCTCCCCCTCCTCCTTAATCCCCCTCCTCCGTAATCCTACCCCTCCTTAAGTGGGGATGATGCCACGCCAGTTGGGCTCGGGATCGGTTAAACGATGCTGAATTCGGTGCGATCAAAATAGTACGGAAATAGTGAGCCAGAAGACCGGCAGCAATTCCTGTACGTACGGGACTCGCTGGCGGTGTCGCCTCGGAAGAAGCAATCGCCTGCCCGACAGCCGGCGCTGTCGGTTTGGGACATCCGTTGTTGTTGGGCGCTCGTACCACTTGTTTCTTTACGCAGATCAGGAGTACCAGGCTATTTTTGTGTTCAATCCCACCGTTGTTCTTCGACTTCGGCCTTTGGGGCCCATCGTCGGGTCCCGGGACCATCCACACATGTCGGCGACTACAAGGGGTGTGGTTACGCCGGGGTGTGGTTTGCGATCGGCGCCGTTGGGGCATTGGGGGCACGACACTGTCCTCGTCGGGCCGCCTCGGAGCGCAGCGGAGAACACTATCGAGGTCCCCGCCCGCCCCCCAGGGTGCTCCCCAGGGTGCCCTTTGCAAACCACACCCTTTGCAAACCACACCCTTCGGAGTTGCCGAACATGGGTCCGGGACGAAAAAAAGATGTCCTTGTGGAAGCAGTCAGGACTTCCCTTGGGGTCGCGGAGTACAGGGATCGTGTCGGTGGATCTCGGGCTAGGTAAAACAGGGCTAGGATCGGGATAAATCGCTCCAGAGCGTTGCGGAGCGCTCTCAGAGCGTTCCGGAACGCTCTGGAGCGGCCGCGGTAACCAAAACATCCTCCAACCCCGCCGATTCTGAGAGATTTCGAGTTCTCCCGATCCGATTTTGTCCCGATCTTCGCGTCGTTTTACCCCGCCGACGGCCCCACATCGGCCCTTCGTCGCGGGCAGCCACCGCGCGCCGAAGGCGCGAGGTTGACCCCCGTCGCGGCGCGACGAGGAGGCGAGGTTGACCCCCGTCGGGGGGGGTACCCCCCACGCTTATTTCAGAAACCCAGAGATCGGAAAGAATGGGTACACAGACCAACATTTTGTCCCGATCTTCGCGTCGTTTTAGTAGGGAGGGCCCCTCGGCGGAGGCGCGAGGGGGCTGGGCACCCACGGAGCGGCCCATCGGCACCCCCCAGGCCTCCGAGCGATGGGGTCCGAGCAGAGGGGGCCGGAGGATCGCACCGCAGCGCCGGTGCAGCGGCGATGCGGCGCGATGTGGAGGCCGACTCTCTACGCGCCGACGTCGCCCGAAATGGGTATTGAAAGAATGGGTATTATGCCCAACAGCGGTTCTTGTTCAATTTGAACCGGACTCGCTGTCCGCGCCGCCGCGGCTTGTGTCCATGCGCGACAGGAGGCCGCCCGCCCAACAGCGGCCGCTGTTGGTTTGGGACAACATTTGCTGTTGGGCACAGTACCCATTTTTTCGGTACCCACTTCGGGCGTCCAAATACGCGCCGACGTCGCCGATGCGTCGCCGATGCGTCGCCGATGCATCGCCGATGCATCGCCGATGCGGCGCAGTCCTCCGACTCCGTTTGCGTGGACTCCATTCGGGAGGCATCCATCGAAGAAGAGCAGCTGCGCACACATGGGCTGTCGACGGCCTGCGCCGATGTCTGCTTGGCATGGCTCGGACGTGTGCAGTTTTTCCTTCGGCGAGGGCCATCGAGGAGCATCCTCGATCATTTGGCGAAAAAAACCACGCACGAAACCAAACACAAACACAAGAAGTGGACGTCCGAGCGATGGCCAGTCTTGGGTCTGCGCTGGACCCCCCTCCGTGGCGCGCGGAGCGCGCCCGGGGAGGCGCAGGGGCATCCCAGGGCAGCTCCTGCGCGCTCCCTGGAGAGGCATCCAGGCGCAGGGGTATCCGCGCGAACCGTCGAAAGTTCAGAGCTACGTTTAAGTCGGGCGTGTCCCGCTACATGAGGATCATTCAAAAATAGTCAAGGGACGATTTTGGGTGTATTTTTCAATATTGGTTGAGTATTGATTTTTCCGCCCAGAATCCGCCTGTTGGGGGACATGCCCTACCTGAAACTACGCATGCCGCTGTTCCTTCCCCCTGCTCTGGACACGCCCTCCCCTGGTCGAATGGCGCAAGGCGGTCAGAGCCCCCCTGAGTGCACGCGGTTCAGTGGTCCCACCATTGGCATGCCCGGCGGGCCGCAAGAGTACCCTTAAGTCGGGCGTGTCCCTCTACAGGGGAATATTCCAACATACCAAAAAATTGTCTGGAGACGATTGTCTGAACGTCTGCTTTGGGGGAATATTTCCTACTTGTCGTTCAAAATCCTCCTGTAGTCGACGAGCCGAAATCCTTCACATCAGTAATTTTGGGTCTCGGAGCCCACAGGGCGGTTTTTCATGTTTTCCATTCGACGTTCCATGAAACCCGATGTCATTCCGAGGCCGCGCGTCGAACGTTTTCGATGGCGCGTCGCGTTATGCGATGTCATGTGCGTTGGGGTTGTCAAAGGCTTGTGTGCTTGTTGCGGATCGGTTGATGTGGGCTGGGGTTTCTCAGGATTGTACATTTGCTTTGCGCTGGGGCGGTTTCGACCCCCATCCCTGGCTGATCCACCCCGCGGGTAACGTCGCAGGAAGAGTTCGATCATTTCGTTCGTAGTGCCAGCGATGCTGTCGCGGACATTGACCGCGCCACGGGGGGGGGTCGTCCAGAAATTTCCTACCATATTGCAGTGTTGGTTCTTCGTTTTGAAGAGACACCGCCCCGCGTCATTCCTTCCGGCCCCCTCCCTCGTCCTCCCTCTTCGCGTATCTGCCCCTGCTCTCCGCGTGTCCCCGTCGTCATCGTCCATCGTCATCGTCGCCATCACCATCATCATCAGCATCATCAGCATTCTCGTCGTCTCTATCATCAATACCACCACCATCCTCATCAACATCATCAAAACACCACCCTTGTTCCCCCGCGTCTCTGCTTCGCCACATCCCCCGCAAGTCTCGTGGCCTTGTGAGGTGCTCCACCGAAGGCCCCATCGGCAGGGTCCTTAGTGCGCCGCCCAGCCCATGTCGGCACGCCCCTCAGACGCTTCGTGTCCCCATGAGGAGCTCATCGGAGGTCCCGGCGGCAAGGTCCACATGCCGTCGCCCAGGCCACATTGATGACACCCTCAAACATTTCGTGCCCCTATAGGCAGCTCCACCAAAAAAAGGTCCCAGCGGCAGGTTTCCCAGGCCGCCGCCCAGCATATTTCGGCATACGTTTCACACGCTTCGTGGCCCCACGGGGAGCTACACCGACGGCCCCACAGGCAGGGCCCACAGGCCGCCGCCCAGCCCATTCCGTCATACGCTCACAAGCTTCGTGGCCCCATTGGGGAGCACCCCCGATGGCCCAAGCGACAGGGTCCACATGCCGTCGCCCAGCCCATGTCGTCCACGAGTGGCGCCCAGCACGGCTCCAAGAGCGCCCCAAGAGGCGCCGAGTAAGTTGCACCCTCATGCAAATAGTTTTTGTCACTTGTGGGGGTCCTCTTGGGGCCCTCTTGGAGCATTCTTGGGGCCCTCTGGGAGCGTTCTTGGGGCCTTCCCGGGGCCCCAGTGGGCCCTCGGAGGGCCCCAAGAACGTTCCCCGAGGGCCCCAAGAGGGACCCCCCAAAGTGGTACAAAGAATTCGCGCGAACGTGCAATCTGTTGTAGGCCTTTCGGGGCCCTCTGGGAGCTCTCTTGGGGCCCCCATTGGTGGCGCCTTGGGGCCTTGGGATGGCTCCAAGAGGCTTCGGGATTGCCCCAGACCGCCACAAGACAGCTCCGAGACGGCCGTCGAGCACCACGGGTGAAAGCAAGTGAGGCTAGGGAACAGGGCCTCTGGTAAGCCGCCACTGCGCCCCCTGGACTACCCAGACAGCGAGGGGACCTGAAACGCCCTGGGGCTCCAGGGGCCCCAGATTAGTGAAGTGAAGGTTTTTGCCATGCAAGCACCCCGAAATTCTTCACTTCACTAAACCGGACCCAGGACGAACTCGCTACGCTCCAGTCCCGCGGGAGATCCGAGACTCCCGCCGCCGCCCGGGGACGTTGCTGCATTGCGGTGCTCTGGTCACTGTTAATGGCTTCCGCGGGCTGCAGCGGCTCACTTCCATGACTACCCCGACTCACGAATCCAGTGGTTGGTCTGGCTCTATGGGTTGGTTTCGTTGTGTCGGTTGATTTTATGCTTGGTTGGCGGTCGGTGGATTTCGCGTTGTTCATTGGTGTCGTGAAGTGATTTGTCGTTTGGTTGGTCAGTGCCGTTTTGTTGATTCGTGCCGTTTTGTTGGTTGGTGTCGTTTCGTTGGTTGGTGTCGTTTTGTTGCTTGGTGTCGTTTTGTTG